TTAAGGTTCTTTAAGTCATCCGCGTAGGCAACCACGTGAGACTTGTTTTTTTTGGTTTTTTTTATTGTTCGTTTTGGATTCATTTTTAACTATTTTGGGTTGGAACTTGTTAAGGTTTAGGGTTTATACAACTATTTTGATCTTTAAAACAATAAGGCCAAAAAAAAAACATAAGAACCTTATAAACAAAAAGCCCATATGATAATAACCTAAATAAAAAAATCAAAAATACATGATAGCTGCGTGGGTTTGAACCCACAATCTTGCATACTTAATTAGACACCTTATACCACTTGGCTAAAGTGTATTTCATTGTTTGTGACCACCTTACCAAGACTATGTGTGTTTAAAAAATATCTATGCATGAGAGCAGTGGGAATTGAACCCATGCCCTTGCAGACCAAACATGTGGCCTTAGACCACTTGGCTAAACTGATATTCTTTGTTTGTAGCAATTTTTTAAAAAACTATATATTTTAATATAAAAATGTGGGACCCACAATCTGCCTATGTGGACACCTTAAGGAGCCTTTAAACTGTATCATTATAATATAGATTTTATCTCACATACAAATTTTTTGAAAATATATATTAGGAAATATGTGCAATGATTTAACTTTTTGAGCTCCTAATCTATATTATTCAACCCTCATTAAGCCATCCACGTATGCACCCGCGTGGAATTCACTTTTTGTTTTGTTTTTTTTTTGTCTGTTCGTTTTTGGATTTAATTTTTATTATTTTTGGGTTGAGCTATATTATAATATGATATTTTTAAGGTTCTTTAAGTCATCCGCGTAGGCAACCACGTGAGACTTGTTTTTTTTTTTTTATTGTTCGTTTTGGATTCATTTTTAACTATTTTGGGTTGAAACTTGTTAAGGTTTAGGGTTTATACAACTATTTTGATCTTTAAAACAATAAGCAAAAAAAAAAACATAAGAACCTTATAAACAAAAAGCCCATATGATAATAACCTAAATAAAAAAATCAAAAATACATGATAGCTGCGTGGGTTTGAACCCACAATCTTGCATACTTAATTAGACACCTTATACCACTTGGCTAAAGTGTATTTCATTGTTTGTGACCACCTTACCAAAACTATGTGTGTTTAAAAAATACCACTTGACTAAACTGATATTCTTTTTTTGTAGCCATTTTAAAAAAACTATATATTTTAATATAAAAATGTGGGACCCACAATCTGCCTATGTGGACACCTTAAGGAGCCTTTAAACTGTATCATTATAATATAGATTTGATATCAAAGAAAGTAAGAAAAATTAAAATGAAAATGCGGTGAGCGTGGATCGAACACGCGACCTTCAGATCTTCAGTCTGACGCTCTCCCAACTGAGCTATCCCCGCTTGTTGTTACATATCTAACTGTACTAAACATATTTTAAGACGTATTTTTGGTGCACCCTATTTGCTTAAAACTCAAAAATACAATCTTATGTGAAAGCTGAGAAGAGAAATACAAGACATATCAGTAACAGGAGGCATAGACAACACTAGATTGTCGCGGCCATGTGGGTAAGGTGATGGTCGAGAAAGATGATTATGATAGAGAAGGCTAAACCGAATGGAAGAAACGTGTGGGAGAATGAAAGATGGTTTGAGGTTTGTGTAAATTTGAAGCAAACCTTGTGTTCTTCATACAATTCCTAACTTAATCAAAGGCTTCGTTGAGGTCATGGACCCATGAGGTAATTTAACACTGTGATGAACGTTAGGAGCTCAGCTGGATACATGGAGAAAGCTGTACAGTCTCTGTTGTTAGCTGAAGCCTGAGAATACATTTTCTTATTTTGTTGAAATTTCATAGTTAAATATTTAATACCGTGAGAGCCACTAAATGTACATTACAACTGAATGGTCTTATAAAATCTATTGTACAGAGTCTATTTCAAATAGCTACAGACTCGGACATATGAGGAAAACCCTTTTTCATGTGCTTAAGATAAACAAATCAGTTATATATATAATTCTGCTGCAAAAGAATTGGTACTAACAGATTGATCCAAAGGGTTACACACTGATTCTTTCTTCACTTTTTGATGGACTTTTGAACATCTTGATCCACAGATTCTGAGGGAAATTTGCTGAGTAGCCAAACTAACACAACACCAACAAGAGCACCAGAGAGATGTGCAATGTGATTAACAGTCTGCAAAGAATAGCCACCATATATAGTTCCTGATAATCCAGCTGAAGCCTGAGCTGCTTCCATTACCTATAATAATCAATTAACTCAAAAGATTACCATCCCATGAATCCTATCATTAATTATACATTCCTAAGACATGTTGAAAGATTCTTACCCTCTCAATAACAAACTGACCCAGTATAAGAACTTCAAGGATCTTCCTCCAATCCCAAGACATCTACCAATATCAGATTAAATAGAAGTTAGGGCAGAAAAAAAACCTGGAACAAGGAGAGAAGAGGGAGATACAGTACCTTGACGAGGACGCTGATAGCAAACAACCCAAAAACAGCTCCAGAAGCTCCAACGGAAACTGCATTTCTCGGTAAAACTAACCAAGAAACCAGGTTAGCTCCAACACCAGTGAACAAGTAAGACAGCCACAAACCAAAGTTCCCTTCTTCTTCTTCAACAAGCTTTCCTATTAACCAAAGTCACATTCTCCATTAGCTCTGAATAGAATAAACTATTGAGTCCAAAACTATGTGAAAGTCTCACCAAAGATGTACAGGAAAAAAAGATTGCTGGAGAGATGGTTCCTAGAATAANTAGCTCCAACACCAGTGAACAAGTAAGACAGCCACAAACCAAAGTTCCCTTCTTCTTCTTCAACAAGCTTTCCTATTAACCAAAGTCACATTCTCCATTAGCTCTGAATAGAATAAACTATTGAGTCCAAAACTATGTGAAAGTCTCACCAAAGATGTACAGGAAAAAAAGATTGCTGGAGAGATGGTTCCTAGAATAAGCACAAACAATCAGGAAGGTTAGCATCAGCATCAGCTAGAGATAAACAAAGAAAGCATGGAGGTCTCTCACCAGTTAGCATGGCAGAACGTTGCAGTCACAAACTGGTACCAAGCAGGAAAATTGTGATACAGATAGAGAGATTTGATGCTTCGAACCTATTGAATAAAGAAGATACAAATCTCAAAGGCAACCTATGCTTTATTATAAAACCAAATCTTAAAAACTTCAATACCTGGAAGAAGTGATCTGCTACATAGATGCCAAGATTGATAAGTATGATCCAGAAGATGCCATTGGCTCTCTTTTGTGGCTTCCTTTGATCTCCTCCTTTACTCAGCTCAAGTTGTGGAGTTATGTCTGAAACAACAACACATCAAACCGTAACTACATTTACTTAAAAGGAACAAAACCAAAACACTGTACAGACTAAAGACTTAGCATCAGTGTATGAATCCATCAAACATTACCAAATAAAAAACCCAACTTCAAGGTTATAACTTTTACTCATTGAAAGGACAGAGAAAACAGAGTCTCACCGGATTGGCTGAACCTGCAAGCAATACGAGATTTTGAGATGATGGGTCGACGAAAGGTTGTGGCTTTTGATGAATTGAGCTCGGAAGTTGAGGAAAGTGGGAAGCTTTTTTTGGTAAGTGGTTTCAGCGACGGAGCTGCACGGCGGAGATGTAAGGAAGGTGAAGGAGGCGGTGTTGTGAAACGTGTGGAGGATTGTGGGAGAGAGAGACGGTGAAGGTGAAGAAGCTGTGACATTTGCGAGTGAGAGTTTGTATTGTACCCAGCAAGCTCTTCTATGAAGGGACAAGCTATAAATCTTTTCTAGTTCGATCAAACATCTACAATCCGACCAAAAAATCGTCCGGTTAACCATGGACATTTCGGTTTTCATATGATTTTTTTTGGTTTTTTTTTTTGGTTCTAGAAATTTAGGATCTATTTAGTTATTTATGAGTTAGTTTGGTTTAAGTTTGCTTTTGCTTCAATTTTTAGTTAGGATAATAAAATTAGAAACCGACTAATATAAAAAAAAAGATTTAATTCGATTCTGATTTAATTATTGTTTTCAAATAATTTTTGCTAATTTAAAAAAATATAAGTAATCCAGATTTTTGAGAAAAAAATATCGGACAATATTAGTTTTTCTGTAAAAATATTAGATAATCATAATTTGAGTAATTATAAATATTTTAGATAAAAGCCATTTACATAATTTAGGTTTTCTGGACAATTGAGTTATAAGTAGTACTATTATAATATTTTATTATTGTAAAACTGAACATAATTAATATTTTAAGTATACATGAAAAATTTAATATTTGTTCGATCTTTTCTGATAAAAAATATAAAATCTGTGTGGATATTTATAAAATTCAGTTTGGTTTATTTTTTATTTTTTTTCTATTTGGCACGGTTCGGTTCTTTAGTCCTGGTTAAATGTGCCAAAGCCTAATTTCGGTTCTCGATCTTCTTCTGTGAATTTGGTTAAATTTCAGTTTAATTTGGTTAAAAATTCAAAAACAAAATTAGGTTAAGGTCAGTTAGTTCGTTCAGAATTTTGGTTAAGATCGGCATAGTCTAGTTAAATTCTTTTTTGAGAAAACCGAGTTAACCAATAACTGAATCGATCTAAAAACCTTTTTTTTAATTGCTTGATCAAACCGAATTTCTTAACCAAACTGAACCAGAAATCGATCTGTTTATCTTTGACATCTTTAATAATATAAACGCAGGACCATATTGTTAACATACAAGCACAAGACTCATTCAGTTGGCTCTGATGAGAAGATCATCTCCAATGCAGACATTGATTTCTACACCAACAATGTATGTTTCTCCTACTCTTTCCATATCTCAAGTTAACTGGTGCTTTTGGTTTCAGACTACTAAACTAAAAGGTTGTGTAATAAGTTATTACTAATAACTGCAGGACATGATCTATGTTTTGGAATCAAAAATTGCAAAACAGTATGGAGATTTTGTCTATGCTACCTTCATTGATATATATACTTTGGAACCAAAGTTTTGAAATGTCTCTTATGGACATGCATTTATTAGCTTACATTTTTATTTTTCTGTTACATATGGTCATGTGCCTTAGTTTTAACCAAAAGTCATGTTTCTTTGTTTAAGAAACTTGTCAAACCAATCTGATGTTTCTTTGATCATGAAACTCGTCACTGTGTGTCCAACTCCATCTTCAGCTACAAACTGCTCTCTCAAAACCAAACACCAAAAGACTTTTCAGATCATTGCATCTCGTTGCATTTTGAATTATAAGATTAGATCAGTTATGTATTACCTTGAAGTTTCCAGGAGTTTTCTTATAAGCCTTCTTAGCTCTCTTCACCGGAACAACTAGTCCACCAAGAGGACAGCGAGGATCCTCAGCGCCTGCAAATGAAATCCTTAAGTATTTGTTTTTCTGTGTTTTAAATTATGAGCCATCATAGATTGTGCTCACCGTTAAGGAGGTAAAGAGGGCGTGGAGCAATCACTGGTACAGAGTAGGGTGCATCAAACTTAGAGGCTAGGCCAGGAGCTATTCTGTCCCACACCTGTTTCATTTTAGTGTATACAGTTACAAACCAATCATTTGAGTTGTAATCTGAACATCTAGTTACAAACCAATCATCTGCTTACCTTCTCGACCACTTCTTTGTCGATTTTGCTTTTCCCCATATCAATCCTTGCTTCTAAAAGTATAAAAGAAAGGAATAAGAAACCTAATAACTTAATTATCTTAATGCATATTTGTGTGTTATTAAAAGTGTTACTTTCAAATAAAGGTTTTAAACTGTCGACTCTTGCTTGCCACGCATCATTGTCTATTGCCCATCTGAATCCCTGACCAACATACAAAACTTTTTATAAACTTAAAAGAGTCTTCTCAAGTAGGAAACCATTCTCATACAAATTAGTTTAGTCCACGCAGTTGCGGTGTTGCTTATCAATATTTGGTTAATAGAAACAAGAGATCAGCTAAGGATAAGTTCGTACCTGAACACCAATCAAAGAAACAGCTACTGAATAGCGGGTGTCAACTGCAGCAGCAAACCAAGCATGCATCCCTGTGTTTGATTTTAAAATGATTAGAGTTAGTAATGGTTTTATAGCTACAAATCATGGTACTCAATTGTGTTCTATGACTAACCTCCTAGTGAAATACCGGTGATTCCTATCCTTTGTGGGTCTATATCTTTCCTCTGATGAGTAAGATATTCAGCTAGTTTGATCAAATCCCAGACCTGAAAAACAATAACATCAACAATAGTAGATGCAATAATAATGTCTTACCAGGGCCGGTTCCGAGATTTAAAAAGCTATTAATATTTTTGTGTAAATCTTAACAATCATTTTTACAATTTAGGACCATAAACTTATGTATATAGGTTTTTAAAATTTGGAGATGGACCAATAGTTCTAAAGTGAAAATGAAAAAAAATGGTGATAAGTGGAAGTAATGTTTTTACAGTATCATAGATAAAAGGCATTGTGTTTCCATGTTTCCAAGATGATATAAGAGCCTGCATTAAAATTCACATCAAACCCCATTTCAGAATTCAAAAGTCTAAAGAAAGATCAATATATGATTGAATCATAAACAGTGACATTTACATCTTGATAGGCAGTTTTGGAGTCAGCTCGTTCCCCATGGTAGCGAGAATCTAAGCCAATGGCTACATATCCCCGTGAAGCATATGCCTTACAAAGCAAAGACGTTCTTCAAACTTTTAATATAGAAGAAAGCAAAAGCACAAGTTAAAATGTTTTTTTTTTTTTTTTACTTCAAGCAATGGCCTTAACGATTCTTTGTTTGCGTTTTAAGGCAAAGACGTTCTTCAAACTTTTAATATAGAAGAAAGCAAAAGCACAAGTTAAAATGTTNAAGTTAAAATGTTTTTTTTTTTTTTTTACTTCAAGCAATGGCCTTAACGATTCTTTGTTTGCGTTTGAGCTATGCATAAACACAACAGCTGGTCTTCTTTCTACACTCTTCTCCTTCAAGCTTAAAATAAGCAAAGGCAATCTTCCTTGCTCTCCAGCCTTAGTACATTACATAAACAACATCTTAGTACATACTACTTGGTGTCAATTTAGTTGTCGTTGTAGAGTAAAATTTTCGTTTTAGACTAAGTGTCGTTTTATAAGTTCAATGCAAAATTTATTGACTTTATATGTCATTCTATTTTTTATTGGTTGAAATATGGTTAGGTGTATATGTAATTGCGTTTTTATTTTGGTGCACAAATATAAAACGACAACTAAAATAAAATGGAGAAAATATAAAAAATAATAATCAGAAAGTTGTTAGAAAGACAAAAGAGGAGTGTTAATAAATAAATTATTACCTCAGTGTGCAAATGAAGGTTTTCCTCGTTAAGCATACCTTTTAAGTTATTCATGTGTGCCTTTGGACTAGACTCTATTGCCTGATTTGGTAATGAAAATAATGATTTTTTCCTTTTGTATATATATATAATATACAAAAGTTATCAGTAAAAATATCTCACAGCTGTAGATGGAACATCACTTTGAAATATAGGATTTGCCACTGGTTTCGAAGGCTCAGCTACTAATGGAACTGTATAACCAAGATTTGAATTATAATAACAGTTCATTAAGCAAGATATAATCATTTAACTCCCTGATTAATTATGAAGATAATCATTAAAACAAACCTGGGGCTGATCGTCGACTAAGAAGAACATGGAGGAACTTAGATCGAAACTCAACGGCTTTGTGCGTTTCCATAGCTCCGGTGATTAGGAGATTGGAAACAAGAAGAAACAACATACAGTTCTTAACAAGAACTGCAAGAAATAAAATATATTGAGTAATGAGAAAAGATACAAATATTAAAGAGAAGATAATGAAGCTTTCATCAAGAAACCTTTGGCTGATCTTTGACATGGGAGAAACTCTGATCTTAGCTCATTGGTTTCGTTAGTCAACGTTTCCATGCTGATCGTTATGAGGAAACAGATTCGGATGTTCTGATTTATAATGTTAGTGGCTGGGATGCATGTTGAGTGTCGAACAATTTGCTACCTGCTTATGTGCGTCTTACTGGTTATGGTTTATCTACGTGTTTTAGTCAACGTTTTTTTTATTGTTAGCAAATGCACTTATTTTTATTTTGATATATCATATTCTTTCCATTTTTTTAATTATTTAACATCTCAAATATATATTAAATTAGATAATATTTATACTTAATATAAAATTTACTAATTTTATATACATTTTTCTTTGGCTAAAAAGATGTTTACATAGATAATTAATAACGCTTCTTAGTTTTAAAGTTAATAATTAAAAACTTAATGATATTTTATTTTTTAAAATTAAAAAATTAAAAATTGCATTAATTTATAGGCTTTTAAAAAAACATTTAATATTTATTACTATTTTTTTAATGTATAATCCCGTACATAACCCCCAATACATTTTTATGATTATCTATACTATTATTTGCGAAGTGATTTTTTGCAACGGAGCTCTCACCTTGAAAGTTGAAGCGGTTAATATCGTTTATACCCTTAATGAATAAATATATAAATCAGCCAATAATAAAAACGAATTTAATATTTTTTTGATTAGATAAATAATTTAAATTAATAATAACAATAAAAATTATCCATAATCTATATAAGAATTATCCATAATCTAAATTAGAATTATCCATAATTCCTATATATTATGTTGTTATCCAGAAAATATATTTAATTCAAAAATTCAAAAACAGAAAAACATGAATAAATATTCATAAAGTAAAATTTTTAATTGTATATAATTGAAAATATAAAATTTTTAAAAATATAATACATGATTATTTTCAAATTAAAAGATGCGAAGTGATTTTTCGCAACGAAACTCTCACGTTAAAAGTTAGAGTAGTTAATATCATTTATACCCTTAATGAATAAATATATAAATCAGCCAATAATAAAAACGAAGTTAATATTTATTAGATTAGATAAATGATTTAAATTAATAACAATGATAAGAATTATCCATAATCTAAATATATATTTAAAAATAAAAAAGATAATTCCTATATATATTGTGTTGTTATCTGGAAAATATATTTAATAAAAAAATTCAAAAACAGAAAAAACATAAATAAATATTCATAGAGGTAAAATTTTTGATTGTATATATTTAAAATAAAAAAATTTAAAATATTATAATACGTAATTATTTACAAATTAAAAGAATATAATAATATAATATAACAATATATATTTTTGAAGTTATTTTTTTTTGTCTCTGAACTCACACATTAAATTAAATTATTCTTATATTTTATATAATTAAACCTTAAATATAAATTAATCATAATAAAATAAAAGATCATTCAAAAAGAAAGAAAATAATGATTTGAGAAAAATAGATTTTAAATATATTGTATTATTATCCAAACTAATACTATTCTTTCTGTAAGATCAATTTTTGAATGTATAGTTATCGATTCAATTTTTCAAATTGAAATATAGATTTCTGTATTATTATCAATTAAGAAGAAAGGAAATAGACTTTAGACTAAAGTTTAAAAGAAAAAATAGAATTTTTTTTTAATTTGTGAAAAACGTTATCATGCTAAAAAGTTTAATGTTTTAGGTTCAATTTTTTGGATGTATATAATCATTTATTTTGATTATTTTAAATTGATTTAAAGATAATTAAGCCCGCATGTGCGGGCAAAACACCTAGTATATATATATATGATAATATTAGTAGGGTAAATTAAAATTATGGACATAAGGAATCATATATCATATCTCATCATATATCATATCTCTCTTTATTTATTCCCTTTCCTTGTGTGGAAAAGTCTCTTTCTGCTTTCATATAGGATCACAAAATTATCACAGTACGATTTCAACATTGTTTTTTTTTTTTTTGGTAAAAAACTATTTCCACATTGTTGTATAAGACAAATCAATATTTTTGGCACAAGTGTATGTGGGTGAGATCAAAAAGCAGAAAACCTACACGCAAACATGGCATATGTTGCTCACACCCGAACGTAAATGAGTTTTCAATCACTCTTTCATAAAAACCTACACGCAAACCACATAAAAATGAATGAGGTTAACGTGTTTTCGTGCGGGCTTTGTGAAAGGGGCTATTGTATTGTATTGTATTGTATAGTATTTGACAAAATCAAATAAATTGAATTTATTACTAACCAGTAGCTAGTCAAAAGAAGATTTATATTTGACCAGAAGGAACTAGTCTCAGCTTCTTATACAACTTTTAGAACAATGTCACTTGATCATATGTTAACGTTAAAAAAAGAGTTAGATGCTAAAGTTTTGTCACACAAGTTCACTAAGCACCCAAACTTGAGTCTCGATGTTTATACTCTTCATCTTCTCGTTCCTTTCTACTCTAATTTTTATTGGGTTTTCTGGATATTTGTTCCTTTCTACATGATTTGGACCAAAAGAGAGCATAGCTCTTTGACATGGCCCAGCTGGATAGTATCTGACTGTGAGGACCTGCAGGCAGAAGTCAACGATCAGATAAATCCTTAAATGTGCATATCATTGATATCACTCAAATTACTCTAAGGAGTAAATTACTCTCATCAAAAGAGGTTCAATCGTAGTACTTAGGGATCGAATCCACAAGGAACTAGAGACACAAAAGATATAATCCTAAGTGATTAAGCTAGGTTGAAAAATGTTTAAAACAGTAAATAAAATAAGTAGCAATGGTAAGTTGCTAAAGAGAACAGGTTTTGGTTTTAAAACGATGAAGGAAAATAGTTAGATTCAAGGTTACTATTCAGAAAATCAGGATTATAGATCTATGGATGTCTTAACGAATTGCTTGCAAATATATGAGAACTTCAATCCTTAGATAAATCTATAGCTGTTGCTAGTTAGACACGTCCATTGATCTGATTGCCGACTGCATCGATCGATGTTGCTATCGCAGTGTCGATCGATATAAGCTGTCGTCGATCGATACCCCAGGAAGAGTATCGATCGATATTAAGTATCGGATCGGATCGAACTATTGTTCACCGAGAATTTCTATAAGACCGGCTATCGCATCGTGCCTTAATAGAGTATGGGTTTAACCAAATGATTTCAGGATGATGACTATTAGATTAGTCACTCCATAATCAATACTCTAGGTAGCAAGACTAGAGTAAGCATTAGGGTTCATTTGGATAATGAATATAACAACTCAACAATCCATAGTTGGGGCTAATCCCTCATAACTATTTGAACCCCAAATCTAACATATGAATCTACTCAGACATAGCCAAGAGATTCATAGCAAAAGAAGAATAAGAAAAGAAAATACTTTTATTGCTCAATAGAATAGAATACATAACTTAGTTCAAAACTTCTTATAGGCATAGGTATAAATAGGGAGTACAATTAGGTTAAAAACTCGTCAGGGGCAGTTTTGTAATTTGGTGAGAACTTGGGCTTCAAGTTGGCCAAATAAATCTTGCTCATCACGCTTTGTATCGATCGATGGTACATTGCGTACATCGATCGATGGAGGATCTCGACTTCAACTTCTACGGAAGCGTCATCGATCGATTACACATGGTGTGTATCGATCGATATGTATCTCTTATATCGAATCTTCATAGTCATCTTGGAAAACTCTTCTTTAAGCACCAAAAGGCACCTAAATCATCACTTTACCACAAAATGCTAAACCTGAAAACATACCTAATAGACTCCAAAACATAGATAATTATAATAAAAACATATAGAAAATATGACCAAAAGCGGGTCAAAATCATGGTCTATCAATCATACAGAGAAAAGATTTGTTATCTATACTATTATTTGCGAAGTGATTTTTCGCAATGGAGCTCTCACGTTAAAAGTTAGAGTGGTTAATATCGTTTATACTCTTAATGAATAAAATCTTTAAATCTGCCAAAAAAAAATTTGATTAGATAAATAATTTAAATTAATAATAATGATAAGAAATTATCCATAATCTAAATATATATTTAAAAATCAAAAGATAATTCCTATAGACACTGTGTTTTTATCCAGAAAATATATTTTAATAAAAAAAAATAAAAACAGAAAATACATAAATAAATATTCATAAAGTAAATTTTTAATTGTATATAACTGAAAAGAGAAAATTGAAAAATTTATAATACATAATTATTTTCAAATTAAAAGAATATAATAATATAATATAATGATATATATTTGTGAAGTTATTTTTTGCCTCTAAACTCACACGTTAAATTAAATTTATTTTTATATAGTTAAACATTAATCATGAATTAATCATAATTAAATAAAGATCATTCAAAAAGAAATAAAATACGTGTTTGACAAAAATAAATTCAAATATATTGTATTATTATCCAAACTAATATTATTCTTTCTCTAAGATCAATTTTTATATTTATATTTATCGATTCAATTTATCAAATTGAAAATAGGTTTCTATATTTTTTTATCAATTAAGAAGAAATGAAATATACTTTAGATTTTTTTTCAAAGTTTTAAAGGAAAAAATAGATTTTTTTTTTTAGTTTTTTGTGAATAACTTTACATGTAAGAAAGTTTAAATGTTTTAGGTCGAATTTTTTGGATGAAAATAATCATTTATTTTGATGATTTTTTTAAGTTGACTTAAAGATAATTAAGTCCGCATATGCGGGCAAAACACCTAGTCACGTTATTATTTGCGAAGTGATTTTTCGCAACGGAGCTCTCACATTAAAAGTTAGAGTGGTTAATATCTTTTATACCTTTAATGAATAATTTAAAAAAAAATAATATATAATTAGCCATAAATAAAAACAAATTTCAATGAATTGATAATTACCTCATCTATACTATTATTTTATATTGTGTTATAAAGTGTTTATCAACCTTGCAAAATAATTATATTTGTTAATATAATTGATTATAAATTAAAAACGATGTTCATTAATTTGATAATTATACTTATCTAAATTTATATTTATATAGTTGTAAAGTCTTTATCAACCTTAAAAATAATTATATTTGTTAATATATAATTATTTATCAATTAAATAACGAAGTTCACTGATTTGATAACTTTATATATATAATTTATATTGTAGTATCCAAAACATTATCTTACATCATATTTTTAAAAGGTAAAGAAAGATAAATCCCTATATATATTGTGCATATTATTTTATGTATACAAGAGTGTTTTAAATTTATTTTACCCAAAAAAGATAAATTTTTATTATACTGAATTATTTGTCATGTATAATAGTTTGATATTTAATTTATTATTAAATATTTCAAAAATAGTTTTTGAATTTATTTTACTATATGAAAATTATTTACATTATGATGAAAAATTTTATATGTAGGAAGAATTTGTTTACTTTAGTATGAACAATAACTTGTTTTAATGGTAGTTAAATTGATTATATATTTATTTATAGATATTAGTAAAATTATTAAACTCGCATATGCGGGTAAAACATTTAGTTGTTAAAAAATCAGGTTAATAGCCGCAAGGCTTAACTAAAAGTATCTCAGCAATGCACTTTTTTTTTTTGTCTTTGACATGTATCATATTGCAGGATCATATTGTTAACATACAAGCACAAGACTAAAATTTCAATCAGTTGGTTCTGATGGGAAGATCATCTCCAATGCAGACATTGGTTTCTACACCAATAATGTATGTATTTTCCTACTTTTTGCATATCTCAAGTTCACTGGTGCTTTTGGTTTCACACTAAAATAAATGGTTGTGTAATAACTGCAGACATGATCTATGTTGTGGGATCAAAACCCTCAAAACAGTATGGCGATTTCTTTTTTTGGTTCTCATTGTGCAGCTTGAAGGTGTAATAAACGACATGGACCGGATCAAGCTGGAATGAAAGATTTTGTCTGTGTTACCTTATTTGATATGCTTTTCATGCTTTATTTAACCATACATATACTTTGGAACCAAAGTTTTGAGATGTTTCTTATGTACCCCAGTTTTAGTTATAACTTAGAAGTCACGTTTCCTTGTTTAAGGAACTTGTCAAACCAATCTGATGATTCTTTGATCATGAAACTCGTCACTTGGTGTCCAACTCCATCTTCTGCTACAAACTAAACACCAAAAGACTTTTCAGATCATTGTATGTTGCATTAGAACTATATGGTAATATAAGTTTTGTACCTTGAAGTTTCCAGGAGACATAGCTTTCTTGTACGCCGTCTTAGCTCTCTTTGCTGGAATAACTAGTCCACCAAGAGGACAGCGAGGATCTTCAGCGCCTGCAAATGATATCTTAAGTATTTTTTTTTTCCTTGTGTCGGTACGTAGATAATGAGGTATACATAGATTAGACTCTGCTCTCACCGTTAAGGAGGTAAAGAGGGCGTGGATCAATCACTGGTAAAGAGTAAGGCGCATCAAACTTAGAGGCTAGGCCAGGAGCTATCCTGTCCCACACCTGTTTCATTTAATAGTTACAATTACAAACCAATTGTTGAGTTGTAATCTGAACTTATAGTCATTGTCATGCTTCTTACCTTCTCAACCACTTCTTTGTCAATTTCACTCTTTCCCATATCAATCTTTGCTTCTGAAACCATAAAATAAAATAAAAATGAATTAGAATCCTCATACTTAATAATCTTAGTTTATATTTGTGTGTTATTAAAAGTGACCTTCAAATAAAGGTTTTATACTGTTGACTCTTGCCTGCCACGCATCATTCTCTATTGCCCATTTGAATCCCTGACCAAGATACATTTATAAACTTGAAGAGTCTTAGAAACCATTCTCATACAGATCACTAGATCAGTATAGTCCATGTAGTTGCGGTCTAGCTTATCGGTATATGTTTAAGAGAAAGGAAATGATCAGGTAAGGATAAGTTGGCACCTGAACACCAATCAAAGGAACAGCTACTGAATAGCGGGTGTCAACTGCAGCAGCAAACCAAGCATGCATCCCTGTGTTTGATGTCACAATGAGAAGAGTTAGTAATGGTTTTAATACCAAAGGCTACAACTCATGGTACTCAATTTTGTTTATGACTGACCTCCTAGAGAAATACCGGTGATTCCTATCCTTTGTGGGTCTATATCTTTCCTCTGAGTAAGATATTCAGCTAGCTTTATCAAATCCCACACCTGAAAGAAAATAACATATGTATCAATAGATGCAATGATAAGGATTTACATTAATGGAGCTAAATGGAAGAAATGTTTTTTACAGTATCAAAGATAAAAGGCATTGTGTTTCCATTTTTCCAAGATGATATAAGAGCCTGCATTAAGAATTACACCAAAACCACCATGTCAGAACTTAGAGCATCCCCATTGAAGGTTCTCAATGGGGGTCCACACGCAAATCGAAAAAAAATAATAATATAAAAATACACTTTCTGTGTACCTGCATCAGAAGAGTTCATGGCTATGAACCCGTATCATGACAAATCGTGGGCCCCACTGACACGTCGTGGCGACCCGCGATTGGTTGGTTTATTAATTATTTTTTTCTTTTAGAAAATTCAAACGAAACAAAAAAATTAAGATAAATAATAAAAAAGGGGTTCACTAGAGGATCACTGATGGAGATTCCCTTAGAAGATTAAATAAAGATCATTAATAGCTAGTTAAACATAAAAAATGACTTTACATCTTGATAGGCTGTTTTGGAGTCAGCTCGTTCTCCATGGTAGCGAGAGTCTAGACCAATGGCTACATATCCCCTTGAAGCATATGCCTTGAGAAGCAAAGCAAAGCAAGTTGTTTCAACTTTCAATTTATAATAAACCAAAAGTACAAGCTAACATGTTATTGTTTTTACTTCAAGCCATGGCCTTAACCATTCTTTGTTTGCACTTGTGCCATGCATAAACACAACAGCTGGTCTTCTTTCTTCACTCTTCTTCTCCTTCAAACTTAAAATAAGCAAAGGCAATTTCCCTTGCTCTCCAGCCTTATTCCCATTACATAAACAACATCATATTAGAGCATAAAAATGATCAGAAACTTGGGGAGTGTAATAAATGTAATACCTCAGTGTGCAAATGAATGTTTTCCTCTTTGAGCATATCTTTTAAGTTATCAATATGTTCCTTTGGACATGACTCTAGTGTCTGGTTTGGTAATAAAAATAATGATTTTTTTCATTTTTTAAATATATATATATATATGTAGGAGAAAATTCGATAATAATAATAATATCATCTCACAGCTGTAGATGGAACAGCACTTTGAAACACAGGATCTTCCACTGGCTTCGAACACTCAGCTACCAATGGAACTGGATACATACGGTTCCCAAATATTTAATCAAGTTATAGATTAATAGAATAATAACATTTAATAAAAGAAAATCATTAAATGAACCTTGGCCTAATCGTCGACTAAGAAGAACCCGTAGAAACTCAGTTCGAAAGTCAACGGCTTCGTGCGTTTGCATAGCTCCGGTGATTAGGAGATTGGTAACAAGAAGAAACAATGTACACTTCTTTACAAGAACTTCAAGAATCAAAATCTACAGAGATGAGTAAATGAGAAAAGATACAAATATTAAAAGAGAAGAAAGTGAATTTTTCATTATGAAACCTTCGGCTGATCGTTGTTGACATGGAAGAACGTGGAGAAACTTCGATCTGAGCTCATTGGTTTCGTTGGTCAACGTTTCCATGTAGTACAGTGATCGTTCTGAGGAAAAGATTTGGATGTTCTGTTTTATTATGGTTAGTGGCTGAGACATGGATGCATGTTCAGTGCCGAACATTTTGCTACCTGCCTAAGTTTTTATTGCTAGTGGTTGTAGTTAATAGTTATCTACGTGTTTTAGTCAACGTGTTTTTTTGTTAGCAAACCCCCTTATTTTATCTTGATAAATCATTTTCCTTCGACTTTATTATTATTTAACATCACAAAATATATTAAATTAGATAATGATTATTTTAATATAAAATTTATTAGTTTATATATTTTAAAAATATTTACGTTTTTGTCTTGTTTTGGCTAAAAATGTTTGAATAAATAATTAATAATGTTTTTAGTTTTAAATATAATAAATAAACAATTAATGATTTTTATTTTAGTAAATTAGAAAATTTAATATTCTATTATTTTATATGCGTAATTGTCGACATAAGGAATCATATATCATATCGCTCTTTTTTTTATTCTCTTTACATCTTGTTAAAAGAAAAGAAACAAGAATACTTCTGCTTTTTTATTACATTACTATGTCTACTGGTGTATGTCCATTGTTGTATAAGACAATCAATATTTTTTGGCACAAGTGTATGTGGTGGTGAGAGCAAAA